TGAACAGCAAGTCATGGCATTAATTGCATAGAAGAGAACAACGTACCCAAAACAGACAGACGAAGAAGCCAAAAATATCGCCATCATCATGGGCTATTGGCTATTGGCTAATCGAGAATAATTGCCCGATGATGCCGCGTCATTCCTGCTCGTATGTCAAAGGGATGGGAGACAGCGTCAGAGGAAATGCCGAACAAATTTGTCAAAGGTATTAAAAAAGTCGACAATTTGATGGCTTGCTGTGGGGTGTGGAAACGTTTGATACCCTGGCAGAAAAGGGCATGGAAGAGGGCATAATTTAAACACGAATTTAACTGATAAAACGTTTGATTTAGCTTTAAGGAAATAGAAACGATTGGGTACGTTGATCTTGATGTTTGATTGGAATTCGTTTTCAACGTTTCTCTTAGTCATTCTTTAGCATTACCAAACAGCTGTTTAAAATCATAATTCCCTTTGCGAGAGCTACCAAAAAAAAGGAGAACTAAATCCGTAGCCCACTCTCTCTCGCTCCCACACCATCTAACTGCATGTTACACTCTCTCTCTCTCTCTCGCTTCTCTTCTTTTGTGTGGATGTAAACACGGGGCTGTGCGGAACAATAACTGTTGACAGCTCGTAAATTAATAATTTTGCACAGCAACGTAGCCCTGAGCTAATGAGAGAGCGAGAATGAGAGAAAAATGAGCAACAACAAACAGTGGAAGGGGGCAGGGGCAGGGGTGCAAATTAGCCGCGTTTCCGCCTCGATCGCCATCGATCCTGCCTACAAATAGAAAAACTCTGACGAGGGCGTCCCTCTGACACTTTGACTTCCTGTGGCCTTTTTTTCCCATCCTCCTTCCTCCTGCCCCCTGCCCCCTGCCCCTGGTTTCTTCCTGGTTCTCCTGGCACGCCTTTGTGCTCGGCGTTCTTCTGTCCCGCTTTTGTATATGAATTGCACTGCCTCCCCGCACCCCGCACCACGCACCAAGGACTCCTCGACGATGTTTGGGTCCAAACAAATTCAAATAGAAATCAAAACAAAATTTCGTTATGCCCGTCACTGTCTCTGGCTCAGGATTTGCTTTCCTTGTTCCTTCGATGGATGTGGATCAAGGAGTTCACTTTTGAAAGGTGCCGCCAACAAAGGCAGCGAAAAGGGAAAGGAAACAATCGCAAAGGGAATTCTGCTTTTCTCAATTGTTTGCCGCATTTTCTGCACTGCCGAATGCCGAACGGTTTGCTGGCAATTGTGCAAATTGTTTTTGCACACTTCCAATTGATCCATAATTAAGTAGCTGCGCGGCTATTAAACTTAATGGGGCATGCAAATTGCCGGAACATCCGCTGTTGATCATTGGCTGGGAACGGGCAAACGATTTGAACTCTGAACTGAGACAATTATGGATGGAGTCGACAGACAGACGTTAGTAAAATTGTATTGCAACTATTAATTGTGTTCTATAGCAAAAACAAATTGAAGCATAAGCTACTGGGGGGCGGATCCCAGAGGTGGCCCCCGAAACTGTGCTACAAACACGAGAGAGAGAGAGACAAAGAAAGAAAAAGCTCGCGCCAGTTCATGGAGTGGCATGGGACAGTACTTTGATTGAACGCAGCGATCGATCCCAGGGAATGAGCTGGCAACTTTCCACAATTTATGTGAATGACTTGTGGAAGAGTGGAAGTGGAGTGGAGGGGGAGTGATGGGGAGTGGGAGTGCCAGTGGCGAACAAAACACAGACAGAAAAACAGATCGGAAGCCAGAAAGAAACGACAATCAATGTGCCGGATCATGGTGGAAATGTCAGGGACTGGAATGAAGCTAATTTGTTGAATTTCTTGCCATGAAGCTTACCAAAAAGGGGGAAAAAAAAGTGGAGAAAAGAAGGGTTGGGGGTAGAGAAAGAGAAACCTACGCCAAAGAACGGTCAGAATGGAGCGTGGGGGGAGGGGGAAATGGGCATGGGGATAGGGAAAACGGAATTGAATTTGACAGCTATTTATGGTCAGGGGTCGGGGAGTTCGATCGACAGGTTCGAAATTGTGACAAAGAAACGGAATGGTATCAAAAGAAGCAATATCCAAAATCTGTTTGCAGCGTGGGTCGAGAGAGTGGTGAAGATAGGCAGGCGGGGGGGAGCTAGTGAAAAGTGTGGGAAATGCAAGTCCGGAAAAGGCACCGGCAACAGGCAGAGCGGCAGAGCGGCACACAAAAAATGCCATTGTGAGCGAAGGACGTTCGTTGCCCAAGGCAAGTGTGTGTCAACCCGAAAGAAAAACCCCGAAACGATCTCTGCTCCTCTGAGCTGTTCCCTAACAACTACTACCTGTCATTCCTTCATTCACCCTCCGCCATCCTCCCTTTCCTGTCTGTCTTTCACTTTGTCGACTGTTACAATTTTAATGCGTGTCCGATGCTCCCTTCAAACGGCATAACAAAGCAGTTGCCAGCAGCAAGCAGTGGAAGCAAGCAGCAGCAGCAGCAGCAGCAAGCAGTTAATGCATGCATGCGTGCGTCTTTTATTATTGAAAGAAAATGGCATAAAAATGGGCAACTAATGAATTTTCAGACAGCGTGATATTCCTGCGGGAATCCCACAATTCCCCCAACCCCCACCCCACTTCACTGCTGTTCCACTCAGATATCTGTCCACGTTCCATTCCAGTCTAAAAGACAGACAGACACCCATGGAAGCCACAAATATTGTACTACTACTACTACTACGCACCACGCCACACGGCAGGAGCGGCGAGGCACGTTAATCGCCAAAGCCCGAACAAACCACCCAACCACCCACCTATCCATCCATCCATCCATCCATCCCAGCACTCAACAAAAGGAAACTCAAACCGCAACACTCGACCAGCACCCACCTCCCCCCCGCCCTTCGACCATGCCTTGCCACCCGAAAAGCTATTCAACCAAATGTTGTATAAATGTAATTCAATACTTTTTTCAATCTTGTTTCTGTTCTGCTCTTTACCGCTCGCCACCCACACCCACTGGTAGAGCGAAAGAAGAAAAGCGAAAAGTGAAACAAAAGGGAAAGGGGGGGGGGGGGGGAAGTGGGGCACACAAATGTTGCTGGAATAGGTACGACGAGTAGTACAACAAATTGGAAACACATTTTACCCTCCAATTACTTAAATACAATACACAACGCTGCGATTGCTTTGGACTCTGCCTGACACTGGGCCCCAGGGGCTGTAGAACATGTCCACAAATCAACGGAGAGGCAACCCACTAATAGAAATTCAACTAAGGGTGGTTATTATTTATGTTTCAGCTGGTTTAGAACAAAAATATATGTACTTTGGCGAGTACATTTTGAAGTTGTTTTTTGCAGCATTTTGTGTGCTTTTTAGACCACTGTGCCAGCATGTTCCAAGCATGTAAAGAGAGTGAAGTAAGGAGAGAGAGAGAGAGAGAGAGAGAGCGCGCAGCTCACACTTAGGTAAACTAACGGGAATATCAGCATACCTCTCTTCCAGTCTATCCTTCAGACCTTGTCTTGCCACGTTTCACGCCAACAGGTCTCTAATTTCAGGTTCGCTGTCTGCGCCTCCTCCCCCGCCCCAACCGCTGTATGTGTGGTTCTTCCTTTTGCCTAGTGCATTGCCCCCTGTGTGTTGGCAAATTTTTGTTGTTGTGTCTATTGCCTTTTGCGTGTCATCAAAAAGGATGTGCCGTGCCCTCCGAACCCTCAATGGTGGCGGAGTGGGGGTTTCTGTGTACGCTAATAGATTTTCTATTACCCACAGCTTCCAAATTGTAGTCCCCATCCACCTCCCGTTCATATGCATGACCGAATTTCCATTTTACGCCCCGTTTTGTGTGTGCCCTCGAACTCATGGCCATCGTTGTTGTCCTACAAACTCCCAGCGGAATCAATGCAAAATTATTATTATCATTATTAAAGGAGTCTTGCGTTTACCTCCCCCCCGCGTGTGTGTGTGGCAAATCCCTGGGCCAGAGCCAGTCCTAAATGCGTGTAATATGGCACATGTCCGACCCACTTCATTCACCCGATCGCACCCCCGCGTGTATCAAACAAAAGCCGCAAGCGGCGACCGCAGCAGGAGTTGGCCTGCGATTCGCCTCCTCCTTTGTGGCTGCCACGCACATGTCAATATTAGATGCCAAGATTTGCAGTGAAAGTTAAATGGGTTACACAGACACAGAATATCATCAAGTCCAAGTACAGTGGTCACTCGGGAAAGCGAACAACAGTCGTATGGAGACCCTTGGGAGACTGCACTGTACGTACAGCAAGCACTTGTGCAGCGGTTGCAATTTCAAAACTATTCGTTTGGGCTTACAAAAGTAGTAAGAACAACAACAACAGCAGCAACAAGAGCGCCAAGCCAACACCCACACACCCACACATACAGCCACCCAGCGCTTATCCCCCTCGCCATTGGATAGTGCGTGTTGGTTGCCATTCGTATTGCTATTGAAATAAATTGTAATTCAATGGAATGTAATTCGCAGTCCCAGGCAGCAGCAGCGGCAGTGGCAGTGGCAGTGGGAGCAGGAGCCACAGGCGAGTCTCTCTCGGATCAGGTCACCATGTCAACCAGCCAAAGCCAAAAGGGGTTTAAGGCCAGAGACCAACACAAGAGATGAGTGATGAAAGAGGACTGTGGGTGTGTGTGTGTGTGTGTGTGTGTGTGTGCATGGGTAGTTGTGGCCGCAGGCGTCTCTCGTCGTCTCCCTTTCACCACTTATCTGGGATTAGTAAAAACGCCACATTAAACTAAGTAAACATATATTTTGCCAGCTGCTGCTGCTCAAAAGGTACACAATTGTAATTACTAAAGTGTGTCCGCATGCGAATGCAATCAAATTAATGTATTTGAAATATTAATTGTAACGATCATATAACATGGAACGCTAGCCAGCACTGATTTTCGATCAGTATCGATTCATCGGCCAGCATGATCGTTTTTTTTCCCCTGGGTATATTTCGGTATATTTTGATGATTCTGGCGGTATATCGTATAGACAAGTCCGCGGTCACACTGATCACTTGTATATTTTTCCCGCGTTTTCCAGAAAAAAATAAACTAAGGAAAGCGTCAAAATTGTGCATTAAAAAAACGCTTGAATATGCCCGCCGGCACTATCCAAACACCAAGCAGTAAAACAAATACCAAAGATGCAATTCAGAAATCAGCGGACCGCACTTGCACCACTGGCAGCGGTGGCAAGAAGCTCGTGCAAACACGCCTCCCCTTCAAGCTGATTACTCCGGTTGCATCAACAGCAGTAGCAGCAGCAGCCACCGCCACGTCTTCCAGTGCCAGTGCCACAGCCCTGCCTGACTCGGAGGAGTCCCCGGCACAGGAGCCACGCAAGCGCAGGCTCTCGTACAGCGATGAAAAGAGCAGCAGCGATGACACCCCGCAGCTCGATCAGCAGCGGCGCTCCAACAGCAAAGAGAACTTGGCTGTGGGTGTGGGCGTGACTGTAGGAGCTGCTAAGAAGACAAAGATCCTGGAAGTGCTGCCCATGGCCGAGGAAGTCATCGAGCTGGCCGACTCCAGCGATGAAATTGAGGAGCCAAAAGCTTTAGCGACACCGCCAGCTGCTGCGAAGATTCAGCGTAAGCCAAAGGCCAAGCCCAGGCACAGGGAAAAGGCCACGCCATCGCCGATACAAATCAAGCTGCCGCTGCTGAGCAAACGTGCCTCGAAGCGTCGCAAGTCCGCGAAGATTCCAGAAAAGGCAACACTGAAGGAGGAGGAGGAGGATGTGGGCCACCCCGAAGAGACGACAGGCAGCGACAACGAGCCGAATGATGAGGAGGAAGTCAGTGCCGAGAAGCTGTATCCACTCAAGCGGCTGAAAGTGGTGCTGCCCAAAGGCAAAAAGACTGCAAGAAAGGGCAAGGAGACAAAGGAGACAAACGAAGAGAAAACCAAGGAGGAGGTGCTCAATGCTGTGGAAAAGATCACGGCAGAGGTGCAACAAACTGTGCAAGAGATAACGAAGGAGAAAGAGATCGAGGAGCAGAAAATCAAAGGGGAGAAGGCAGCACAAACATTGACCAGCGGGAAGAAGGGAGAGCAGCCAAAGGCCGACAAGCAAAAGTCACCAAGGGCCAAGAAACAGGAAGGAAAACGCACAAAAGCAGAGGCAGAGTTGAGCGCCACAAGAGAGGACACCAAGCTGCAGGAGGATGTGGGCTGCTTGTTGGAGCAGCACAGCCAGAACGAGGAACAGCAGACGACAGTTGAGCAAACAGAGGAAACAAAGCTAGTCCAGGACGATTCCCCCGACGATGATGATGTGATGATGCTCACGAGCAGCGACAGCGAGCATGAGCGGTCCGATCAGTCCAGCACCGATCACGAGATGGAGGTGGACACTGACGCACCCGACAGGCAGTCAGTGGGTGGCAAGGAGAAGGCCAGTACAAGAAGGAGAAGCGTGCATGATGTGGCCGGCGGCCAGGCTGATGGCGAGCTGAAGGGCAAGGGCCAGGCGCTGACGGCCAAGCAGCAGCGACTGTTCGAGCAGCGGCGCAAGGCGCGCGAGGAGAAGGAGCACAAGCTGCAGGAGGAGCGCCGCCTCAAGCAGCAGGAGAAGGAGCAGCGCGAGCAGCTGCGCAAGGTGGAGCGCGACCAGAAGGAGGAGCTGCGGCGCAAGGAGCGCGACGAGAAGGAGGAGCAGCGGCGCAAGGAGCGCGAGGAGAAGGAGCGCAAGCGCCAGGCCGAGGTCGACTCGAAGAACGAGGAGAAGCGCAAGCGCAACGAGGCCAAGGAGGAGGTGCAGCGCAAGCGGGACGAGGAGAAGCGCCGCAAGGAGCTCGAGAAGGAGGAGGCCGAGCAGAAGAAGAAACGCGCCGCCGAATCCTTCACCAAATTCTTTGTCCAGAAGCTGCCCAAGGGCGCCGGCTCTGGTTCGGGTCCGGGGCTGGACGCCTCCGCCACGCTGGAGCTGGAACAGAGCAGCTGCGACAGCACCAAGATGAGCTGCCCGTCGCTGGCCTTTCGTCCCTTTCAGGTCAAGGACGACATGCTGCTGGCGCCCATCGTGCGCACCTCGCTCGGCGGCCAGCAGCGCTCCCAGCTGGATGGCCTCTTCCGCGAACGCAGCGAGGATGCTTCGGAGGAGGAGGAGGAGGAACCCGAGGACATTCGACGCCGCAAGCGACCCAACCGCAACCAGCTTTACCTGTCGGAACTGGCCAAGGGCACACGCCAGCCGCTCAAGATGCAGCGCGACGTGCGGCTGCATCGGCGCACCAAGGAGGAGGAGAGCGAGGAGGAGGTCCAGGTGATAGGTAGGCACTCAATCAACTCAATCTTGCAACGATTCCCTGTAGCAATTCTCTGCATTCTCTCCAGATGACCTGACCACTGCCGGCACGCCCATTGAGCAGGAGGAGCAGGCCAAGCAGATGCCCAGAATGAGGGCCAAGTATTTGCAGTTTGCCGACAATCGTCGTCCGGCGTACTACGGCACCTGGCGCAAGAAGAGCCAATCCATCTCCGCCCGTCGCCCACTGGCCCAGGACAAGGTGAGTGTGCCACAGGCATCCTGCTGAGCGAGATTGAACCCCGTGCTTCCCGTTTGTAGGTTCACTTTGACTACGAAGTTGACTCGGATTGCGAGTGGGAGGAGGAGGAGCCTGGCGAATCGCTGAGCGCCAGCGAGGATGAGAAGGAGCGCGAGTCCGAGGAGGAGTCCGAAGAGGAGTACAACGAGTGGTATGTCCCCCACGGACATCTCAGTGACGAGGAGCTGCAGCACGATGGCGAAATGGATGACGGGCATACGCGTGAGGCCCAGCAGGCCAAGCTGCAGGTGCTGCAGCAGGAGTTTGCCCAGGAGATGAAGAAGCAAACGAGAAAGATCAAGCCACGACTCTTCGGGCCCATCTGGCTGGACGAGAATGGCAACAAGTCGCCGCTGTGTCCGGCCGTCTTTGCCCAGACCATCGACTCGTACGGCAGCTGGCAACTGGAGCCGGTCAGCATGGAGCCGCCGCCGGAGAAGGTGCGTGAGGCGGCGACTGCCAGCGCACCGGCCAGCCCCCTGCAGCTGGACGAGCGACTGCTGCAGCAGCTGGTGCGGCTGACCCATGGCAATCGGAATGCGAAGGCCTTTCTGATCTCCGAATATCTGGAGTACCTGAAGACACAGACCAGCCAGGAGTCGCAGCAGCTGCCCTCGAAGGCCCTCATTCGCGAGAAGTTCGATGAGCTGGCCACCTGGTCGACCATGGAGCTATCTGCCGCAGATGCTGCAGCGGGCAGCAGCAGTGCCAAGAAATCAAAGAAGCCCAAGAAGCGCCTCTGCTGGATGGTGGGACCCGAGATGCTGGAGAAATTCCAACTGGCCGAGCTGTCGTTGCAGAATCAATGGGAGTACACGCTGACGCCCAAGATCACTGAAGCGGAGCCACAGCATGAGCTCAGCCCACCGGCCGAGCCAGAGCTGCCATCTAAGGAGGCCAAGGAGTCGCCAGTGGCCCCAACGGATGCTCCGAGCATGTCCAGCACACCGACGCAGCAGGTGGCCACCAAGAAGCGCATCGCCCTGATATCCGGGCCACGGGAACTGTCCGGCCCCGTGGCCTCGAAGAATGGCCTCATCAGCCAGTTCCTGCGCCGCCAGAGAGATGCGAGTCCCAGCAGCAAACCGGCTCCGAAGGGGAATTCAACCAAAGTCAAAGCCAGTTCGGTGGCGGCGGCAACGGCGGAGGAGGCTGCAGAGGTGGTGCTGCTCTCCGACTAATAATCCTTTAAGTAATCCTTTCACACGACAACTGGCCACATATCCTCCTAGAATTATGAACTCTTTTTATTTGTTTGTTTATAACTTATACATATTCCTGTAATGTTGCCCCGATGTACGTTTTACTTGTATATCCTTCTCCGCCGACTTCCCACTCTCTTTCTCTCTTTTCCACTCTCTGTTCTTCCTTCTGGCTTTAACTCAGCTGTAGATCTGTTGCGTGAAATAAATGGTTCACTGGTAGATCAAACGATGCTGTCGAATCATCTAGCACATACATAAGGATAAATATAAGCAATTGCTAACTAGAATTATTCCTCGTATATTCGCTTGCAATAAAATAAATTTTGGTTTATCATTTTACTTTACGATTTTCGATTTATGCGTGCAACTTTATTGTGAATAGGGCCTGCCGCTCACGTACACGTGCATTGCAGTTATTTCTACCAATACCAGTGCATTGCAATGTTCCGTTTTGCGGCGCATGAATGCATTTGCTTGCCGAGCCCTGCTCTATTGTGATCTATCGATCTATTGTCACTCTCTTCTTTTTCCGTGTGTTCTGCCAGCAGCTGACAAAACCTGAAATCAATAACGTTGCTTCTCGAACAAACTTAATTGAAATGCAAAACAATTTGGATCATTTTTAAAACTTTTTTGTTTATTCTTTTTGCCATTTTCATGTTGCTTTTTTTTTTGTTGTTGTGTGTTTTTTGTTTGCTTTTTTTTATATAATTATTAAATATACAATTAGTTAAGATGCCCGACAAAAAAAGTTATTGTGGCTGAAATATATATATGCATATGTATCTATAAGTGAGTGGGTGTATGTGTGTGTGTGTGTGTGTACCTGCTTCTCTGTTCTCTGTCCTCTGTCTGTTTTTTGTCTTTCCGTGTCTGTTGCTGGTGTTCTTTTTGTTTTGTTTTTAAAAACCTTGGACTGTTGTAACAATCCATCTAAATTGATTTACGATTTTGTTCATAAATTATTGCTAGTGTTTTAATCGTTGTTTATTTGTTTCCTTTACATTTTGTCTTTTCCCTAAATTATAGTAGAATACCAATACCAATCCATTCCCACATACATAATGTACCCCGTCTACCCATTTAAACCGTAGCCAAAAAGTTCGCTAAGCTAACTAAAAGACTCGACTCGAGAGCATTGTGAGGGAATGGGTTATTTTTAAAATAACTGGAGAGGGGCGGGGGATGGGGGTATGCAAGCCAGATTGTGGACTGGGTAGTGCTGTAGGCCAGTGGACTGTGTGGGTGGAGAGGGCGAGGGCTGTCTCACAATGCTTCTAATGATATAAAAGATCACACACATGCGTACAAATAGACAAATCTAATGTATGTATATTCCAGAAACACACACACTAGCTGATGTATCGTTATCGTTATTGTTATCGTTATCGTTATATTATATATAATAAGGCAAATATGACGAGGGTCGAGAGTTTGAATCATGTAAATGTGAGGAAAACACTTATCCAAGTTAGGTTCTTCAGTTGTTGTGTGGTTTGTTATGGAACAGAGTACTACAGTACTACATACAGTGCGTTTCAGAGATGTAAGGCAATTCAGGCATCAAAATTACTTAAAACACATAAAAACATTTAACTCATACTCGTGCCTACAGCCACCAAACAAAAAAATGAAGTTCAAGTATGGATCTCAGACATGGGCAGACAACCACCCAAGGAGTTGCCGTTGTAAGGATCCCATGGTTTGGTACAACCCCACCCATGATAACTATGTTTAGCTAACGATTGACTTATTCCTGCAGTTATATCCAGCGAGTCAAGAGGGCTTAATCCTCAAGCAGATAGGAGACGAATTGGATCCTACTATTGTATCCAATAATTGAAAATTAAAAGAAAAAAGTATTCAAATATGGGTCACGAAACGCACTGTAAACGAGTGTGTAGTGTGTGTGTGTGTGTGTATTGTCACAGAAACCAGTCGATTTTGGGATGGACCACACAGGCAGACACAGACACAGACGCACCCACAAGCTATTGGCTAATGCTGCCTGTGGCTGTTGCTGCTGATACCATCGTTAAAAGTGCAACGAAAATGTCAATTTAAGTACTTACAAATTATGTTCAGAAAAAGTAGATGTGTGTTTATGTGTGTGTGTGTGTTAGTGTTTATGTCGTGTGTCTGTCTGTCTGTATGATAAGCGTTTTCTTGTTGTCAAAAGTTACTCTTCTTTCAAATTGTTTATGTTTTTAGTTGTTGTTTTTTGGTCGTCTTATTCTTTCAGGACTCTTCATCTGTATCTCCATCACCATCACCGTCCCCGTCCTCTTCCTCTGCATCTGCATCTCCGTCTCGATCTTCGTCCGTTTTCTCATCACTCAAATCCGAAGTGGAATCGGGATCGGAATCTAGATCGGGATCGTGATCGGAATCGGAGGCAGTACAGCCGCCATCCCGAGTGCGTCAGGGCAGCAGCAAGGGTCGGAAGTACGCCCGACAGAAGATCGTTGAGGCCGAGGGCGGCAGATCCTGATTGCGGTAATACATATTACATTCGCGCTCCGTCAGCTTATCGAAAACGGACGCGTACTCGCGATGGAATGTTGCCAAATCGACATTCGAGCGACCGATGACCGTGAGGGCCAGAAATAGTATATCCCGATAGAAGGAATGCGAACGCTCCACACCATTGCTCTTCAACTTGTGCCGCTCGTTGGCCAGACGCTTCAAGGGAGTGGCCAGATCATTGCATCGTATGGCCGAAATGATTTGCTGAATGACACTGAAATGGACAGAAATGTTTAATGATACTCCGTGGCGGATGCGAGGCATGGGCATGGACATACTTCTTGTTGAGCTGCGCCTGATCGGTGAGCAGTGCCTTGATCAGTGGACTCGTTGGCTGCGTCTCCCTGTACAGTATATACATGGGCGGGCCACTGGTCTCGCTGTGCAAATTGAGATTGTCCCACAAGCACTGAATGTGCACCGTCTTCACCTTGCTGAGCGGATCCAATTGCTCCTTATCGGTCTGCCCAAAAGAAAAAGAAACATATTGAAATAGAACTCGGCATGGCAGGGGTTAACTCAATCGATCACTTACCGGCACAGGCAGACACAGCTCGGGCAGATGGGTCTTGCTTTCGATGCGCTCCATTAGCCAGAGCAGATTCCAATAGATAATGGGATGCTCGTCCACAAACTCGGGCTTGATCAGCGCCATATCACCCTCCTGCGTGAGTATATTCTCCAGCTCCTTGCGCAGCACCAAAGGATTTAGATACGGCACGGTTAAGCTGCTCTTAAGGCTGCCATTTCCATTCGCCTGCTCTTCGCTGGACTCCTCATCCACCACGCGCACTATCTCAACGCTGAGGAAGGGTACGGTGAGCTTGTTGCAGGCATGGCAGGTGGTATTCAAATTGGAATCCTCTGCCGTCCAGCCGCTCATGATCTCCTCATCGTAGACCAGCACCGAGCAGTTGTGGCATTGCGAGCATGTCGTCAATTGGATGAGCACATCGCAATCCCGCTCCATGGAACCCTAAAAAGAAAGAGGGGGAATTATTATTTAATGCGGCAGCAATGCAGCCGGAACTTACCTCTGTCATGGGACTGTACAGATTGTCGGGCAGGGCCGGAAACGCGTGCATGTGCAGGGCACCGCTGGAGCTGTTCTCGCCGAGGGGCACCAGATTGTTGTAGCTGGATTTGCGCGATTCACTTAGCCTGCCCCAGGGATCCAGGTCGCTGGAGACGCGCCTCAGTTTACCCTCTTCGAGGCCCGCACTGCCGGCAGCGTCATGCTCCTCCTGCTCGTTCTGCTGCTGATGCGCACTATGATGGGGATGATGATGATGGTGGTGGTGGTGCGGATGGTGGGGCAGGGCATGTTGGTGGCCATTGTTCGTTTTCGTTGGCGTCGAATTGGCCGATATAGCGCCCTTGATTTCGTCAAACTTCTTGGTCAGCGAATTGGCCGCATACTTGATGCTACTCAGCGATCCCTGAATCAATTCGTTGGACTTCCTTCCCGTCAGACTGGGACTGTTGTTGGTTAATAAAGTGGATACATTGGGCATTAGTTAACACTCTTTCTACACACAAAAATTAGATTTGCAGATTTACAAGATACAACAGATACAACGGAAAAATGTATTTTGCTGCTGCCTGCTGCAGTGGCTGATCTGCTGTGGATCGCATGCTGCTAGGAATGGGTTCCACTCTCGATTAGCCACTGCAGGCGGCAGCGGCAGCTGTTATGGTAGTGCGGTGGTGGTGGTGGTGGTGCGGCTGGATTTTGGTTGATTTACATACGCTGATGTATGGATGTTGTGGATGCTATTATGCGTGAGTGTATGTGTGTGTTTGTGTGTGGCTTTTATCAAACCTTGAATTGCCCGCCACCAACGAGGGTTTTTGTTTCATAGGGGACCATAAACCATTATTATTTGTAACCAGAACCAGGAACCAAAACCAAATGCGAATGCAAAACTCTGTGAACAGCATTTCGAGAGTGTTGTGTCACACTAAAACAAAAATTATTAGCTTCTGTGTGTGTGTGTGTTGTCTGCTGTGTGTATATGCTGCGATCCACGAAAGCATAATTATTTCAATATGCAAATTATGAGTTATATTAAGTCAAGAAATTCCTAGCTTAGACTCCAAGTGGATCTTGTGGAATGTAAGTCAAAATATATGTTTAATTTAATTTTAATTGAAATCACTTGGGAGTGCAAGTAGAACATAAAAATAATCGGTAGATTCTAAGTGGAACTTGCGGAATGAAAGTCAAAACATAGTTCAATTAAATGTTGCACTTAAATCACTTGGGAATGCAAACACTTTCTTGCAATAAGCAACTAGAATACACAAGCAAAACGTATGAAAATTTTAACTTGAAACTTTGAGGAGAAAGAACTCCAAAGTAGCTTCCAAGTGAAGCTTGTGGAATACAGCACATACGCACATCCAAATATATATTGTTTTTTCTTTTCATTGTGTGTGTGTGTGTGTGTGTGTGTGTGTGTATATGTGTGTGTGTGTAAAATATCTAACATCTTTTGATGGCACAATCAATAAAAGGGATTTCTTTCACTTACCTTATGCTCGATATATTTTCTATTATATTGGCGGGCAATTTCAAGTCTTTCTTAAGGGACAATCGTGCGGGTGAGTAACGTCTACGATATATATCGGTATATATAAGTAAAATTGAAGATCAAAATCAAAAACAAAACTCAAAAAAATAATAAAACAGAAAGATATGGCACAGAAAGAGATAGAATATAGAGTGGAGAGTGAGTGAAACAGAGATGGAAATAGGGGGAAATGCAAAAGAAATAATCATGTGTGATAGTGGAGTGTATGTGGAATGCATGTGGATCGTGGTACTTGAGATGAGCAATGTGGATCACAACAACTTCAAAGAATAAAAATTTATAGGGAAAGTAGAGGCAAAGTGAGAGCGAGAGGCAGGAGGGGACCCCCCGATGTTTGGTTACCCGAATGTAAACTTCAGCGATGACCCGATATTGGCCAGGCTGTGGGTCACCCCACTGCTTGCCACCGGCATCGTCTCCGATCGATGCATGCTCTTGCCGATCTGCGTGGACTCATCGAAGGTGGCACTGCGCTGTCCCCTGAACAGGATGGGCTTGTCGCTGTATATGTTGCCATCAGGCTGCGTTTGCGATTGCGATTGTGTCTCCTGCTCCTGCGCCAGTCCTTCCTGCTTCTGCTGTGTGGGTGTGCTCGTGGAGGAGTCCTCCTCGTTGAGGGCACCCAGCGGATCATTCTGAGTCACTGGCGTACGTGGAGATATTCTGTGGGACACGGAATTAATTATATGATCACTGATAATCCTCTCCAGCACTCACTTGGTGGGACTCTGCACACGCTGGTGCTGCCCCTTCTGGGCACCCGAAATACACTCATCATCATCCTCGTCATCATCGTCGTCGTCGTCCTCCTCCTCCTCCTCATCGGCCTCGTAGTCACCGCCAGTGTAATGGAGATCATCCACCACCGATTCGGATAGCTTTTGCGGGGTGATTGGTGAGGCGGCTGTATACTCTTCGTCCTCCTCCTCTTCCTCGTCGTCACCGCCACCGATCTGCATAATCTGCTTACGCACTGGCTGCTGCGGCTGTTGCAGAGCCTTGGCCAGAATCTCGGTGTCGCCGCCATAGGTAGGCGTGTGCGGTGCACTCGGCTCTCCGGACGTGATGAGCAGTCCGGCAGCACTGTTGACGACATCCTCGGCGGGCAGTGGTTCGCTGGCTCCGCCTGCCACCGTCTGGCGCACAATGCTGCCCAGTTTATTTCTCAGGCGATCGAAGGCGGCAAAGTCGAGCAGGCCGCCGTGAGTGTCGCCCGAGGAGGAGGCGAGACTGGTGCGCGACTGCCCGTCGACCGTCTCCAAGGTGCTCAGGTTGTGGTCGTGCGAGGCGCTCAAAGACTTGCACACCTTGGAGGCGGCACGACGCTTGCCCGCGCGTCGAAACTGTGCGGCGCCCAGGACCACGTTCTTGATGCGATTCCAGCGTATCTGGCTGAGGGTGGTGCTGTCGCTGGGCCACGTGGACTCCAGGACGCATCGATTGTAGAAGCCATAGGTGAGGGCATTGGGCTGGACGCCCGACCGCTTCATCAGATAGTGCAGGCGAACGGCCAGCACCGGAAGATTGTGGATGCCACACAGCTGCATCATGATGCGGTAGCAGAACTCATCGCAGGTGATCTTCAGCTTGCTGGCCCGCACCAGCACATCGTAGGCGGCGCGTAGGATGTCGTGCTCCTTGCCGGCATGCCGCGGATCGATCACCATCGAGGGCAGAATGAGGAAGTACAGCGAGTAGCAGGTGGCCAGCAGATACTTGGACCACGCCTCCGGATGCTGCTGACACCGGCTGGCCATCTTCTGCGACAGCTTCACCTCGTGCTTGGTGCGGCGCGCAATCGGTGAGCCCGGCGACAGCGAAGCGTTCAGCTGCAGCTGCAGAATCTTGGACATGGCCGTCTTCCTGCTCGTCTGCAGCAGCTCCGGCTGCAGCGTAAAGTTCTTGTAGGTGTAGGTGTACGCACCCGCCCCATTGATCGAAGCTGTTCCCGCTGCCGATGCTGCGGTCACGCTGTCTGGAGGGAATATGTACTTGGTGCGCTCGCTGCTCTGGCCCGTGTCCCAGTCCACCAAGTGCAGCTGCGCGGGCGTCTCATCGTAGTTGCCCACCTTCTCGGCGCACTCGTCGAAGAAACTCAATCCATGGTCACCATCCGACACGAACGAACGCTCCTCAATGAAGCGTATAAACATTTGCGTTTTCATCATTAGCTCGAAGAATTTCTGATGCGACTACAAAGAGAGATTCAAATATTAAGAGTCAGAATTCATTTGATTCCCCCCCCCCCCCCCCCCCCCCCCCACACCCTCTCCCCCCTCCTCCTCTCCCCCCCACCGCCACCCCCGCCAAACAACCAACTCCCATGCGACTGGCAGCCCCACGCGACTGGCACGGCCGANCCGATGGGGCCTTTGATATGGGCACCAAATAGTCCCGATATCCGCGCAATATCGATGCCATGAACAGCAGAAATGCCTCCTGAATGCGCTGCTCCAGCACCAGTTCCCGCTTCCGCTTGCGTATGTCACGATCCAGGCTGTTGGTGGAGTCATTGCTGATGGGCTTGGCATTCTCCAGTTCGGTGAGCGTCTGCCGGAGCAGTCGAGCGGCACGTTTCGGCAGCAGTTTCGGCGACAAATGACGCTGTGATTCGCACAACTGCAAAGTGGAGACACAAATGTTGAGTACAAGTAAAATGTTTGTGCGAAAAATAACTCATTCATACGCTGATATTATTGGTATCCAGATCAATGCAGGTGACATCCGTGGGCGGCTCGTAGAGGTCGAAGAAGCGCGAGTCGACTCCAATCAGATACGGCAGCGGTGCATGCAGCACTTCGGCCAGCCCTAGGGGACACAGCGGTATGTAGGGGCACTGCCACTTGAAGGGGAAGAGCAGCGAGACAATGGCCTCGGCCACAGCCGTCAGCGTGGCCGGTCGAAGCGAATGTATGAGTATCTTCTGCTCGGTGAGGGCCAACAGCAGCACATGCAGACAATTGTCGGTGCCCAGATTCTGGAGCAGCATGTGAAAGCCAGCGCCACTGCGCGGCAAAGGCGAATCCTCCGGCTGGGTAAGCAATATTCGATCATTCGACTCGCTAGACAGCTGCAGATGTATGCTCGGTGCCGGAAAGGGCACCTCATCCAGCAGTTGGGTAATGTAACGCTCCACGGGTATGGGTATATTGACGCCATACAAAACCATACGCTGCAAAAGTGCAAAGATTAATTCACTAAGCAACAGCTGGGCCATCGATCGATTATCGCTTACATGCAGATACTTGAGCCATTTGTCAAAGGTGTCGCCAAAGGGATGATGCGACAGCACGCAGATCGCCTTGATCATGTGCAGCGAATGCTGTGCGCCAAATTCCTCATCCCAGCCGAGCTGTTCCCGCTGCTCTGCGGACAGTTGGGACTCACTGAAGGAACACAGAAACATCAGCAAAGAACGAAATTTGAAATGAAACCCGCTTGGAGAACTCACTCGTAATCCTCGTAGAAGGTAAGGGCCGAGCCGTAGACCTTGTAGGTGCCATCGCTGACGGTCAACACGAATGTGCTGAAGACCGGACTGATGGGCTTGCGCTTCTCGGAGCCATTGACATGGGGCCAGGCCTCGAGGGAGGCGCCCATGGGCAGGCAGAAGAGCGGCACGCTGGGGCACAAGTTGAGGGGGAAATCGTTGTGATCGACTGTGGGATAGCGCAGCAGAATTTCCGGCTTGTAGCTGATGTGCTTCGGTCGGTACATGGACTTCTTGTAGCACAGATAAACGTCGCTGCCCACGTAGCCCTTGTTCAGGGTCTTATAGATCAGGCAGAAGGCGTGCGGCGCCCGCTCTCCCTTGCTCTGGACGATGACGCAGAGTTCGGTTACCACCAGCTCATTGCAGGGCATTTCGCCGCGTGCCCGACGATACGTGAGGAAGGTCTTGGCCGAAGAGTTGTTCACATTGGCCACACGACCGCCCGGTGTCTCGGCCACAATCTCGGCATCCGACATGATACGTTCGTGGCCATCGTAGAGGACACCTAAAGCAGAGAAAGAGTGAGAAATGGCTTGAGCACTGTGTGTCTCTCTGGGGAAACCCACCTATGTCAACCAGTGGTGGGCGATCCTTGCCACGCCGAAAGTATATATAACATTCAGTGGTGCGAACAGAGCCATGATTGAGGTTCGCCGGCAGGCCTGTGGGCGTCTGTTCGAGCAGCTCATAGCCCTCGGGCACCTCCTCGCCCAGCAGCGGAAAGAAGACGCCAATGTCTGTGATGGGCTCAATGGTGCTGGCCGCCCTCAGTCGTCCCGAATCATTGAATATGTTCTCCTGCAGCAGCTGTGGCTGCTCTGGCATTCCAGCCACCACAAAGTAGTCGGCAATGCGTTTCTCCTCCATGGTCGTTGTCGTCTACACTTCACAGGCAATGGTCGCCGCCGCTGCCAGAAACTGCCAAAGCAAAGACAAGACCAAAAATTGGTTGGGTTAATGCTTCTCAAACGAAATAAAATGGATAGCAGATAAGATAAGAGCGAAAATACAGAAAAATAAAAGAAGAACGAGAGATACAGTGGCGAAGGCTCTGGTTCGAATACTGGTTCGATTATTAATTAACTTCAGTTGCTATCTGTGCGTTCTCGAATGAAGGAAGGAACTTCTGGGTGTGCAAACTCGACAACTGCCTCGAAGCTAAAGCTTCAGTTTCTGATGAAAGAATGCTATCGCCTGCCCACTTGGAGTTGAGAACATTTTCTTCCAGAGAATATGTGACTCAAAAACATATATCAAATGTGCACAAATATTTGACTTAGGGGGAAATGTTAATGTAAGCCGCCAGCCGCCACANCCCCAACGTCTCGCATGGCGCAAATACTTTGTTTACATTGTAACGTACATGCATACATACATACATACATACATTTTACATACATTTTATACAGCTGCTGGTACGCTGATAAACTTGAATTCGAATTAAAAGTATATATGTATGCATGTATGTACGCACGCACACACACACACACACGCACACGTACTGCATGTAGCTGTGATGGAATCCTAATTTAGTTGGGGGCAATGAATTGGACTTTGTGTCTGGCTTTGCCGTTCCACACTATTTCTATATGTTTTATTGTTCGGTTACCCAACAACAACAACAACATTGAACAATGCAGCATAAAACAATTCTTCCGCATGAACCGAACCTAGAATACCCCCTCCCCCAGGCACATACAAAGGGGTTTCAGATTGAATTGAAATTCCTGAGGCGATTCCGAATGCCATGTAGGGACGGGACAGATCGGACAGGCGGAGAGAAGAGAATGCCTGGCAAAAATCAAAACCCAACATACCCTCTCTCGTACAGGGTGTATTGGATTGGAAGAAACAAGTTCCGCACGATGATTCAACTTCCTCCGCTTCCGCTGGCGGTATTCAATGGCGGGGCACACTCGACAACACTCATTTTTGTTTTCTGCTTTTTTGGGCCTTTTGTTTGTGTTGATTTGCCGATGCGTTGTTTTGTTTATGGGAATGACAGCCGCTGCTGCAGCCACAAGAGGCAGGCGACAGGTTAGACTTACGACAAGGCTGGCAGTGGGGTTCCGTTCCTGTTTTTCCTCCGGCTTCGCGACTGTGTGGCCTTCGAGGAGTTGCTGCTGTTGCTTGTTGTTTGCCTTGGATTGCAATTGTCGCTTGTCGCTTTTATAATTATTATTTTTGTTGTTGGTTGTTGCTTTGCCTTATTCCACTTCTTCACACTACGTTAATTTCCACACACCAACAGAGCACAACACAACACACACACACACACTCACGCGCGCACACGAACACATATGAAGTGCTTTGGGGCTGCCTACTTGAGAGTTTTCTTTTACATCATTTTCGTAATGCTCCCGTTTCGACGCAATTCCGGTATCCAAGTGTTTTCCAGTAGCGTCGCGTCGTTACACACACTTTTTACTTCAATCGTTACGTCCACTTTTACATATACAAAGTTCTACTATAATTTAATCTACGTGTGTATGGCAAAAATAATAAAAAAAAACCAGTTCCATTGTGAATTGTTCGGTCAATATTGTGAATGGGCAACTCTGTCATATCGTGAATTGGCAATAAGGAAATTTGCACCGAATTTCCCCTTGTTTTCAAATAGTATGTGAAAATTGCCTCAGAAATATACCGTCCTATGCTCGAATGAAAAAAGATACCGAAATATACCTTCTCATTTTCAGAATATATGTATATTTCGTAAATCCTAAATCATTTTCCTCGATTTTGATATTCGGATTATTATGACAAGATGGCTAGCCCTCTCAGCACTAAACACCTCATTTCATTAGATTCTTCAATTAATTCTCTACTAAATTGGCTACTTTTGATGACTTTCGTTAATTGGATTGTTTACAAATTAACGTTCAAACTAAAAAGGCGAATGTTACGTCATTTGTCCGCTTGTTGCTTGATCTCGATCTTCTCAAAAGAGAAATAAAATTCCCCACGAAAAAGAGATGAATTTCCCTCAGAGGGAATTAGATAAAACAAGCCTATGGTAGTATCGATACCCTATATTCTTCAATATTGTAACTTAAAATGGAATTGGATCGATGGATGGAATAAATTATTGAACTCAACATCGTAGTTTAAATATCCCAAATATTATATTGGTTACATATTATATTATATTATACGGTACGCTGTGGCTCAACATAACTGTAAAGTGAGTCAGGGGAGCAGGAGCAGGGTTGCCTCCCAAAAAAAGAGTTGGTCAACTATCGATATTTGGTTATTTCAAAAATTCTAAACAATGGAATTTATTGTTCTTTCAACTTACTTCTAAAATATCACTCAAATAACGAACGTATATCTAGACATAGGGATTCCAATTGCTGCCATCCTCCGGCAGGAGATTATTGGTAATCAATAAAATGACATCAATTATCCACCAGACGCCCACACCGCCCATTGTCAGCAATTTGCCCACTGCCGTTCCGGTCTGTCCCAGGCAGAAGCGATCCATGCCAAGGAATCCCAGCAGCATGCTGTAGATGAGCGTGGTCACGAAATAGTGATCCGTGTAGCGGACACAGGGAACACCCTCGCGGAAGAAGGTGCGGTTGCCGTAGCAATCGATGTCCGAGTAGACGGTGCACTGGACCTTTGTGTGCTCCACATCTTCGTAGGAGGAGCCGCCGAATCGCAGGCAGCCGTATCCCTTCTCCATCTTGGCCGTGGCATTGTCCCTGTGATCGATGGGATCCTTGCACTCCAGAAAGTCACGCGGCAGGAAGGAGCACAGCACATTCGGTCCCAACGGATGGAATGCCGAGTTGGAGCCGGAGGATGACGATACCGAGGAGGAGCTGGAGCCAAGTTGCGCCTGTACAGGTACCACTGACTGCACGGCCGTGCCGGAGCCCACCGTTTGCGGCTGTTCCTTGTCGCTGCGAGCCTGTATGGCGTCGATGGTTCGGTTTGTTATTAGAAACGAGACTAAAATCCCGTATAAAACAACTCTCTGCTGCATATTTTCCACGAGGCTTTTCAAAGGTGAATTTTTCAAGTTAAGTTATCTTTTGTGGTAGCTTACTAACGTTGCTTTTATGGTATATTGATGTAAACAATTAACTTTTGGTTGTTTAAAACGTCTAGTGATGGGAGTTCTAATCTTTAATCAGCTGTGTAAAACTGCGGATGTTGCCATATCAAAACAAAAAAAAACCGCCTTGCCCGTCGGTAACTAACCAAACAGGTATTTTGGATGGGACATTTCAGTTTCATTCAGACATTCTCAGTTTTCTTTTCCAAATTATTTGCAAAGAAGTCCACAGACAATAGATCCATCAATCGGATACAATTATAGTTTGATTGCTGAGAGTCCTAACTAGCTGTTAAGTAGAATATTAAAATCGAGGAATAGTATTTAATTTTGAAAGTGAGAAGGTGCATTTTGATATATTTCTGACGGTCATGCGGTATATTTGATAGATAAGTCCGCTTTCACACTATTGTTTACCGCCATTTCGTTTGCTTTTTCCAGAAAATTACAAAATGTCGCAAGAGCCCGTGAAAGTAGCACCGTCAGACAAAGATGACATCCTCATCTGTCCGTTTGACGAAGGGCATTCTATTTTGCGTAGTCGTATGGCCGTACACCTGGTCCGCTGCGCCCCCAATCACCACGGCTCCAAGAAGGTCAACTGCCCCTTCAACATTACTCACATTTGTACCATAACCGAGATGAAAGTAAGAGATGTGCATGCATCATTCTATTAAGCAATATAAGAAATTGGCTGTGTTTTTAATCGTATTAGATTCATGTGAACAATTGTCCAAATCGTTCCGCATTCGAGGAATTCGTGAATCCGGATAGATTAACTGCGCCTTGTATGCTCCCTCACGAGATGAAGGGGGAAATCAAGTGCAGTGAGAATTGGGACGACGGGCCGGACGATCCCACGTACAATCCCAGTGCTAATTGCGCAGGAAAATATCTAATTTGTAATCCCCAAGGCAATCCGCCAGCAGTTAGGCGTCAAATTCGGGATATGGAACGTTTGCGCTTCCAGCGAAATAATAAATTCTAAAATAGCTGTAAGCGGTGGCCATTAATCTCGATCTCAAGTAAAAATGTGTCTCGACACAAGTGTTCGAATTTGTGTCCATAGTAATTAAATACTCCAAAATTTACTTGAAATAGTCGAGAATAAACTCACGGACGAGTATGTGCACATGTGTGCATGTACGAATATAAATGCATAGCTGCCTTTTTGCATTTCCTTATCAGCACTTATTTTTGTTTCCATTGAAAACGCTGTCATTTGATTTCTTCTCTTCCTTTTACATCAGATTCGTTTCCCCTTTTCAAAATTTACCGCAATATCGCGTGTGGAGGGGTTGGGCTTCCAACTTACTGGCAACGCTAAAAATTTGGCTTCCTTTAATTCTCTTATGTATTTATTTACATAGTATTCACAGAAGGGCGAATACCCGCCACATTAACACACTCTGATCCAAGCCAGCAACGTAGAGGATACTAAGCGTTTATTTTTTGATGATTATCTTGCAAATTCCTAACATTTGAAGTATCCAATTCCATAACTTACATTATTGCTAGAACGAAGTTAATCAAATTTACAAACAAGATCGCTTAGCGACTATACGCTCTTTCTTGGTTCATGAATTAAAGAATCCATCGAATTGATTATTTCAAGGCTCTGTTGCAGAGCCATCTCAACGAAATTGTGCATGCTATAGATTCCAAAAATGTATTTTGATCGATATATATACATAGAAATGTACATAGAAAACAAATGAAAAGGTTAAAAGCATTTCATCTGAGATAAAGTCAATATCAATATTTAAGAGCAGCTTGGAAGCAGCATTTTAATATTAATTTATGGAAACAGGGTAGACAAAGGACATACTACTTTTTGGCCAGCAACAAGTTGTGAAAATGTGTAAACTTTCACTCCCACTCATGTAGCGTTTTATGCCTATTTTTGGTTCGCTTTTTTAGCTTGATCCTTTTTTTTAAAACAATCCAAAACTAGCTAATCTTATGCAGAATTAATTCATCAAGCAGGTAAAATTATAGTTTTACTTCGGAGAATCTTCACTAGCTGCTAATATTAAACGGAATATCAAAACGGAGTAAAATGATATGGGAAATAAGGTATTTGTTCGGTATATTTTGAAAATAAAGAGGTATATTTCGGTATATGTCTAAGGGTCAGGCAGTATATTATATCCATAAGTCCGCGGTCACACTGTTTACCACTGCAGTTCTCGGCGTTTCTTGTTTCTCTCTCCAACACAGTCCACCAAGGAAAAAATAAAACGGTTTTTCTACCCATCAAAAATCCAAAATCAAAGAAAATTTCCAACGACAACAGCGAGTTGCATTGGCAATTGGAAGAAAAGTGCAGCTACAACTGCAACAATAAAAGTTCCATCCCACAGCTCCATACATACCAACGTGTGTATGCAAGTGTGTGGGTGTGTGCAACTGCATCGTAGGTTCCAGTAAAAAGCAGGAGGCACCAAGGAGACAAATCGGCTCAACGCGGAAAATCTAAATTATTTTTTTTTGTTGTGCGCTGTTTAAAGGTGTTTAAGACGAAAATTTGAAAAATCGCTTTTCTCCCACTGCATTTTGGGGCCCACGCAAAATTGTCGCAAAGCCCAAGAACGAGGAAGAGCAGAGGAAACGGAGAGGAGAGACAGAAGCAGCACACCAACAAAAAAAACAGGCTCGGTTCGGCTCAGCGCAGCCCAGGCTCCAGTGCAGCGCGCCAACTTCAACTTGTGAACGCAGCCAGTCGACGTCGACAGCGCTGTTGTTGCATTTGCTGCAGTTGGCCCAATCGCTGCTGTTGCTCTTGCAGTTGCAGTCACCTCGTTGTGGTCGCCGCGAGTGTAGGGCAGCATCGGAAGAGATAGAGTGAGACTCTGAGCAGTGCGAAGCGAAGCAAGCAGCCAAACCACACAGAGGTAAGTGCTGGGAGAGGATTGGAAAAATAAGGAAAGACAGACAGAAAAAAAACAATCAGCGAAGAGTGATCAAAAGTGAGCGAAAAAAACTGGCAATTGCCGGCGAATGCGAAACGAAAAGCGAAAATACAAAACAAAAATACATAAAATTGAGTGGGGGAGTCACAGTCGCTTCACAAAATAACGGATGGCTTTGATTTTTTTTTTTGTGTACCTAAATGTATATCCCTACAATGAGGATCGTATCCTACTTTAATATTGAGGTCTTTTGACACCATATATTAGATCTTTAGGAATCTGTGAAAAAATAAAGAGCCTGCTACCTCCACGCATCTAAAGAAAACCGCCAAGTGGTTTTTACAAATTTCGAGAATTTTCCTATTGTGAGTGGAGGAGATTGGTCTACGTGATAAATTGGACCGGCACGCACGCACGCACAACCGAACAGTCGCGTATGTAGCTGAAAAACAGCTGCCTTCTGTGACCAAGGGAGATGGTGGTATCAACATTTGTTTTTGTTTGCTTGTTTTAATTTATACAATATTTGTTTATTTATGTACTTGGCTTGGCTACCGCAGGAATCAGTGCATATCTTATGTCAAGAGTGCATTTCTTTTGCTTATTTACTGTAATCACATACAAAAATATGCACACAAAGTATATGTAGGTAGCCCAGATATTTTTACCTGACACTGTACTACTACCGTACATTCAGCATACAACGTTGCCGCTGCTGTAGTATTCTTCTTCTTCTGCTAGGCCTCTGAGCTTTGAACAATTTTGCGACGCAATTTCGGCAGCGTCGGTTTTATGCTCCCTCCACAATCCCCCCCCTCAATTTCCATGTTGAGAGAGTAATAAAAAGAGAGAGAGAGAGAGAGCGAGAACGAACAGCCGAACATTGTTTTGTTTTTGCGCCCTATCACGAAAAAGGGGGCACAACAAGTGCGAACATGGCTCCGGGGAGAGTGCGAAAGGGATAGGATGTCCATGCCGCGGCAATAACATAGAAATTTCGTGAAACGCACTAAAACTTTCAAGGTTAAATCGGGCAAAACAAACATAAAAACCGGTTACAGCATATAAACGAACGAGCGGCCACAGTACATAAGAACAAACCAAAAGAATTGGACGGAGGGGAGTGTAAAAGAAGTAGAAGCAAAAGCAACAGCGACGCAATAACAAACCTCAGAGACAACTCTGCTGTACATACAATACATGCATACATAAGTATGTATGTTTGTTGTTTTTATGTATTGTATGGTTTACATGCTCGAAAAAATGCAACATAAGCAATGATGGGGTGTCAAAGAGGAGAAGGGTAGTATAAGCTTTTTGGTCTGCTGCTCCTTTTCACACACGTCAGCAGCTGTCTGTCATATAGAAACTCCATTTCGAAGTTATTGGTTGGACAGGGATGGCGCTAATGTTTTGCCGGGTGCTGCTAGAGCTTTAACGGTAACACAAATTATGTCGTTTGTATGCCTGTGTTTGTGACCTTGAATTTTGACTAGGGAGAGTTTGCCAACACACACTTTTAATTTTCCAAAGACGCAATACCGTTATTGTTGTCTCTGGCTATTGATAGTACAACTTTAAATGCTGCAAAATAACTGAGAAATTATATTCTTGTAAATGTTTATGTGTCTACATATCGCTTACATTATACAAATGAATGGAGGCGACGTGCCAGACAGCATGTGTTTTTGCCTTTTGTCAGAAATAAACAAGCTTTGAACAAGCAGAACCAGACCTCAGACCCCAGACAGACATGGAAAGCATTAAAATTATCAACTTTGAGCCACATTCTAACAAGCTTTTGCCCGTTTCGCATTACTTTGTTTGGTGTTTATTGCAGTAAGGACCGGCACCTGGTGTCACAGTACAAAAACCAACACGGATCCCAAACACAGCGCATATTTTTCAGTTCATTCCAAGCGGGGCAAGCAGAAAGGTAAAGGAAAGAAAGCAATCATGGAAGTCGAATCGTCATCCCATACCAAACATGCCAACGGCGGCGGTCGACGCCACAACTCTGGCGGCTCGGACTCCAAGGAGAGCTCTGTGGAGCGCGAGCTGAATGGCGAGATCCAGGCGGTGGTGCTCAATGGCAGCGGCTCCAATGGCCTTGGTCTCATCAAGAAGCCGCTACCCGTCGGCGACGACGGACGCATTAAGCGAAAGGCCAAGAGGCTCATACAGAGACAACACAGTGGCAGCAATGGTACTGTTGCCACCCTAACCAATGGCAGTGGCCCGGGATCGGGTGGTGCCAGTGGTGCTGCTGGCAGTGGTGGTGCCGCCGCCGCTGCCGGTGCCACCGGGATTATACCACAACCAGGTGGCTATGTGGTGCCGCATCGACGCTGGAAGAACAGCCGTCGCTCAAGGAACCTAACCCGGGGCCGTGGGCTACCCAAGAAGGGCGGCGCCGGCGGCAAAGGTGTGTGGGGTCTGCCGGGCTCCGAGGCTCTGGCCGAACTCTACGAGGACGAGAACGATCCGAACTATGACAGCGAGTGCAATGATCGGAATGTGGAGCTGCGTGAGGTGATCACTGAGACCACACCGGAGGAGTTCTTCAAGCTGGCCGAGCCGATTGTCTTAGAGTACTACGAGCACGGTGACACACACGAGGTGGCGCTTAGCTTTGATGAGATATTGCAAAGTCCATTGCGAGAACAAATTACCTCGATTCTCGTGGAGATAGCCATGGATCACAAGGACTCGCAGCGCGAGATGACCTCGGTGCTGATTTCGGATCTATACGGTCGTGTCATTACCGGCAAGGACATAGAAAAGGGTTTTAACATTCTCCTGTCCAACTTGCCCGATCTCATTCTCGACACGCCAGAGGCTCCCATCATGCTGGGCAATTTCATGGCCCGCGCCATCGCCGACGATTGCATCCCACCGAAGTTTGTGGCCAAACCCGAGGAGACTCTGCAGCTGAGCGAGTATGCCGAGCAGGCTTTGCGTCGTGCCGACTCGCTGCTCCATAAGCAAGGCTGGGCGCATCTGGACAATGTCTGGGGCATGGGTGGGCCCCTGCGCCCGGTGAAGACCATTACCAAGCAGATGACTTTGCTGCTCAAGGAGTATATATCGTCGCGTGATGTGGCCGAGGCCCATCGTTGTCTGCGTGCCCTCGAGGTGCCGCACTATCATCATGAGCTTGTCTACGAGGCCATTGTCATGACGCTGGAATCGCTTAGCCAGACCACTGAGGAGGCAATGTGCGAGCTGCTCAAATCGCTGGATCTCACCTGTCTGGTGCTGCCAGCAGGCATGGAGCAGGTACGCAATCAATCGTGTCTCTATTCGGAACATTTTCTAAATGGTTCTTTCCTCTCTTGACCATGTTTTAGGGCTTCATTCGGGCTTTTGATGATATGGCGGATATTGTGTTGGATGTGCCCTTGGCCTATATAATACTCGATCGTTTTGTCGAGCGCTGCAACCGTGCCGGTTTTCTCACCGACAAGATCATTAATAATGTGCCATCGCGGTAAGTCTCTCATATTATTAATGCGCATTCAACAGTTAGTTTTATGCGTAGCTGTAGTATTTATAATGTCCCTGTCCAAGGACAAATCTCTGCTGAGAATAAGAAAATAATCGACAGTCTGAGATGGACGCTCATTGACAAAACAAAAGCAAAAAAAAAAAGAAGACTTTCTATGTGATAAAATTGTTTTTGCAATGTGCAATAAGAGCGAGTAACACTTTACGTAATCTTAGCCCCGACCGATACACGCCCCCAAAAAAATAAACACCAGCCACCCACCTTCTTGGGTTGCCCCCGCCATAATAAAAAGTTGTTTACTGGCAAATACTCTGCAGCATCAAGTGCACGGCATATCAGTTTCATTCTGCGTAAGGCTATGGAATATACTTTGGGCATTTGTTTAGACTTCCTTGAAATGAAAGAGAACACTTGAGAACACTTGTTGTTTTGTTTATGATATTTTATGGGCTGATATTGCTATGAAACTATTTTTATGAGGAATCAGAAACAGCTGTTATTGTGTCCAACCGTATGGGTCCTCTGTCTCTTTCTTTTTTTGTTCTCAAGGTTCTTTTATTAACTGTAATTTTGTAGGGTGTCCCTTTGAATCATTATAGCCGAATGTGTTTGTTCTGCTTTGGACTCTGCTGAGAAGTCCATATATGTATGAATATGTATGTGATGTGCCTTTATCTGTATAAGTTTATATTTTGTTTTTGCCGGCTTCGACTTGTTTATTATTCTTTTTCTTGCTGTTTATGTTCTTTATACGCTTTTAGCTCAATTTCTTATATACATATGTGCATGCATACAGGTATATTCCTATACACGCTATAAACAGCGATATGCATATGTATGTACCTGTTTGTTTATGAAATTTCTATTGCGCAGTTTAGCTTTTTGCTTCGACACTGACGGGGGCGCCGCGTCATCCATTGGGGCAGTCCGCCTGGCCAGTTGCCGGTTTATCAGGTGCCGGCTAGTTATATTTATATGTATACATATTTATATGCATACATATCCACGAATACCAATGTATGTGTGAATTTACTCCTAGACTTGTTTTGCTCTTTGTTTTTCCTACTTTCCGTTTCTTTTGTTTTTCTCTTTCGGTTTTTGTTCTGCATATTTAATTGTTGATTTATTCCACTCTTCTCGCCTTGGGGCCAAAATCGCTCGCTGTTTGATTATCCCCTTGCAGAGAGTGTGTGTGTGTGTTGCAATGTTTTACGGCGAGAATATTATCCCTCTACCCTCCTCCATAATGTGTGATTACTAATTCTCGATCAGTTTTCATTTTTAAGCTATGTATAAATGTATGTATAATAATCGATCGAAAAGCAATCCTTGTTTTTATATGCCATACCTAAGCATTCATGTTCTTAGAAGCTTTTCAAATGTCATGTGGGGGAGTGCCGAAGAATTGTTGCAAAAGGCAAAAAGCTCACTGTTCTTCCATAATACTGATCGATCAATTGTATAGATAATCGAATCAGCTGCACGAGAGGGTATCAAAAGCTTCGTCACCGATGATAGGCGGCTTTTCTTCTTGTTTTTATCTGTTCTTAAAAAAGAGCCACATGTATGCATGTACATATGTAGTTACATACATACATACGTATGTATGTACATATGTACATGTACATAAATATGTACTCAATATTAATAGGGAGAGGACGGCTCTTATCGACGTTTGGTTTTGTATTTGTATTTAACTTTTTTATCGCATCAAACTTTTGGTGCAACAACCTGCATGTGGCTCAAGATCGTCTTTAGTGTGTGTGTGTGTTTGCGCGAAGGTAAACATGGCGGCCAAGTTGCTGTTATCGACCTGCTTGCCACTCCCACTTTAGTTGCTGTTACTGCTGCCGCTGCCTCTGCTGTTGTTGTAACTGCTGCATTTGCATTCGCCTTGGCTGCGGCTATTGCTCTTTGCCACTTTAAGCGCACAACTAAATGCAACAACTAAAATCAGCAACAAAACAACAGCCATTCACTAATACATACATTTGTACACAATACCCCTGGACGTTGTGGCAGACGCCAACACCGTCAACGAAACTGCTCAGATTTCTATAAAAAGCCAAATTTATGATACAAAAATAAACTACAAGCAAAAAAAAAAAAGAAAACAGCTGAAAAAAGTCCAAACTCAATGTCAGATATGTAAATTGCACATAACGGGGTATCAAGGGTGGTGGTGAGATTATGGCGGAGCAAATGGCCAAACTTGGATATCCAAATGTATGATGAGTTTGGTGGGTGATGCTTTAACAGTAGAAATGGCCGAAGTATATGTTCTTAATACTGATCTTTAAAACCAATTTAAATAAGAGCTAATAAGAGCTAAGACCCTGTGTCGAAGGAATCACGAAACGGTTGAACAAGAGCTCCGGGCTGCCAGATCTACAAGTGCGAGAAAAGCTAAATGCGCATCACTGTCTGCTGCGCGATGCAGCTGCTGCTTCTTGGAGGCCTTGCTGTTGTTATCCTCTCCGCTCCACTCGCTCTCTTGTGCTTTGTTCTTGTTGGCTGTGTGTCGCTCACAACTTATCATTTCACAATTTATTTTATTTTACTTTACTCTTTTTTTTTTTTTTCTTTTTCTATATTTAAATGCAGCAATTAAGGCTCCGCTTGGCCCTATTTTGTTGTTTTGCTTTGCAGCTTAGAATTCTTCGATTGCGCTTGTCAGAGCAGACGCCGGCTCTCTCAATGCAAAACAAAAAAAAACCAACACTAAATATAACAAAAACTAGTTTTAATGCTTTGGAAACTGTCTGCAGAGACCAGTGCATAGACTGTCCGCAGTGCAGTGTGCAGTGCATCAACTGCTCTCTCACCCACTACCTACCAGCACAGCTGTTTTGTTTTTGCAGTACTCTGCAGCTGAGAGCAGCAGTCTGGGCAAAGAGAGCGACAGAGCTAAAAAAGGGTCAGCGGTTGAATGAACTTTTGTGCAAATTGTTTGTTGTTTTAGATTTTTATTTTGTTGTTGTTGCCAAATTTGAGCAAAGATTTTATGCAACATTTTTATCCGTTTTGTTTTGTTGCCTTGTTCTTTGTTTGCTTGCATTGCATTGCATAATTGTGTAATTACAAAGTGCGTGTTCCAGTGTGTGCGAGTGTTTGTGTGTGTGTGGGCAATAACTCTTCTCTTTTTTCTCAAGCAAGATTTGGTGCAGATGCAACAATTTTCATACTAAAAGAAAAAACTAAAAAGAGTTAATTTTATTGTCAACTGATCCGTAAAGCTTATCAATATATTAATTGATTTAATTTGTTGTAGGCAATGTGCACATAAATTTAAATAAATTACTGGACTTTCACAAGAGTTCCAACCAAGGCTAATTCTGTGTTCTTAATAAGAGAGTGGAAGGAAGAAAAAAATAAGCATTCTGAATAAAGTGACAGAACGGAGCAGACGCTCCAAGTGAAGATCAATAATGTTAAATTAAATATGGAATGACATTACATGATCTAATAGTTTTATTTTATTTGTACTTACAGCGGACGCAAGCGCTTTGTCTCGGAAGGCGATGGCGGTCATGTGAAGCCGGCTATCTTTCCCATGCGCGACTAAATTGGGGAAAACTTTTCTAAAATGGGCTGGACTTATGTAGTGTGCTTATATAAAAAGCCCCGCCCCACACCCCAAACAAAACAAAAACAACCAAAAGTCAACCAAAACTATAACAACAACAACAACAACAACAACAACAACAGATAAAGGATATATTTGAGCGGTGGAAAGAAGAACCTACAAAAAAGGAGCAAAACATCAAGAGGATGGATGCAGCAGTATAAGAGAGAAGTGCATTATTTGTCGCAAATTTTATTGATCCTGCATACCGTGAGAGAGAAACTATCGCTAAACTAACGAGCAAGACACACACACAAGCAAACAAAGAAAAAGCCGACAACAAAAACAACACTTAACACTAAACAATCAATCCGGAAGTTGATCTCCGCGTTTAAAACTATAACCATACGATTTAACATAAACAAGAACCATACAATACATAAACATTCATACATATATATTAATCTAACGAGAAACAGCAAATCTAAAGCAAGAAGTATATATTTTAAATATGTGTATAAACAAAAGTAGAGATCCACTACCGCCCGAAGCAAAACAAAAAAGAAAGAAAGAAAGTAGGAACGAAGGAACCCTTAAGTAACGGCTACGGCGGCGCATATTGAATTGCATTTGTCTTTTATGAAGTAAAGCCTGGAAATTGAGGTTGTTTTTGAGTAAAGAATGAACGAACGAACGGATTGATGGATCAGATCAGCGGCGTACTTATAGCACGGCTGCCATTTATAGTATGTCTCTCACTTGCAAGCGAAGCAATTACTTATACGTACTGTTATACACAACAACAACAACCACACACACACACGCACGCAGTCAGGCACTCATTAACATTATTATATTGTATAAAATTAAGAGTAAAAGTGAATTAAAACAGCAGCGAAACTGTGGCCAAAACTATACTTAGTGGCGGCACACATAAAATGTCAAAATAATTGTAATTTTCAACATGTTTCCATATTAGAGTACTTTTTTGTTCTTCAAATTTAATCATTTTTTTCTTTAAAACGATCCCGTGGATGTTTTCCATTTTATTTCGGAGAGCCTTGTGCGTGTAATCCAAACAAATTGTTATTAACTATAGTTAAGCACATGATGATTTAATTGTTTAATTTACTTACATTTTTTGTACTTCCTTAAGCGGAATCCTTAAGCAATCTTGCATATAGATACGTTTTATTTTCGTGTGTGTGTGAGAAGACTAGCGCCGCGGCGTACACATAATTATGTTTAAAATATACATACCTACATACATACAGATATATATATATATTTATATATATTACCGAATGAACCATGATGAACCCTCCCCCCATACAGAATATCAATTTCTTTTCATCGGTAAATATTCTTTTGTTTTTTGTTTTTTTTTTTTTTGTAATTCAAAACAGGAGTAATTGCATTTTCTATTATAAGAAGTTTCCACTTTCCCTACCACTTCCGTTTTTCGTTGTATAACAGTTGGATGCGAAATCAGGCTAATCATTTTTTGTTGTACAAAAGAAGGAGAAAAGCTAAAACTCATGGAAGAAAAACCATCAAAAGCCCCCACATTGAAGAGAAAAAATTCGAAATTTTTTTACCTCCAGCTATATATATTTTTTTAAGACGATTACACACAGACACGGTAAACAGAGGAAACACACTCACAACCCTACACATCTACATATATATAATATATATAACTATTGTGTTAAACATATACATTAAAAATAAAAGCATTATTAAGTAGTTGTTTATCTGTTCAATGCATCGTGCATCGAGAGGCCATCGGCTCAGTCAGTTTCCAGTGTCGCTGCAGGAGCATGGGGCGGCTCCAGCTTGACCTCGCATCAGGGTCGATTCATGCCCAGGCCCCCTGCCGCACCCATCTCCGGCGAGAGGGACATGTGCACGGGCTGCTGTTGTTGCTGCTGTCCTCCTAGCGCTCCTTGTATGCCGCCGCTGATGGAGCCATGCATGGACACATGCTTTCGGTAGTTGGTGAACTGCTCAAGATATCGCTTGACAGTGTCCGTGGGCTCGTACATGTCTGCTGCTGGCCCATGGCCCTGCAGTATTTCGCGTATCATCTCCCAGCAGTAGGACAGTATCATGCAGGAATTGTACTCGATCTCGATGGAGATGCCCTTGAAGTGCTCCATCATGGTGACGGATCCGAGCTTGATTACAAAGTCGCCGAACTCGAATCGGGCGTCACGTGACTCAATCTTCGTCTCAATCTCAATCAAACCCCGGTGTACCGTTGTGCGGCTGGCCGTCGATATGAAGGTCTCGCAGTCGACCAGGAATTGGCCGGCATGCGTAGCTCCAAGCGACAGCAGACGTTTGCTCAGATAATCGATGATAGGGGCCCCCAGATTTACCCTCGGGCATAGGATACGGGTGTAGCACAGTCACGCCCATAGCAGCGTTTTAATGGGCTTTCCATAGTTTTATTTACAAAATAGTTTTTGATTATTTTCTCTGCAGTATCGATATAGGTGAACGGCAGAAGTTGGCAAAACATCGATTGTATGAACAGTCGATAGTATCGATGCAACTGCAAAAATCAAGTAACAAAAGAAGCAAAAAACAATTAATTTTCTTTATACATATGTATGTACATACATATATTCTTAGAAAATAAGAACCGTCCGGTAATGTTGATAAATATCAATAGCTAAAAAATATCTAATATTTCGGATGGATTTTGTGTAAATACATTTTCTAAGTGGATTTTTTTTGTATATATATGTGTGTAAATATTTCATAAACATTTTAATAAATTAATTATTTCATTTGTCTAAATACTTATTGCGGTTCTCCTTTTTTAATTCGCAAGCTCCTGCCGACACCGTCTAGTGATGTTCAATTTTGCCGGGGAAAAAACTATCGATGGTGGAACAGTCGATGTGTGGATACTTTTTCGAGGGCGCTATCGATACGCGTTCTTATGTTTGTTGGTATTATTAGTTTATTAGATTTGTTTTTTGTTAAATACACTACACGGTTACTTTGTGGTTAAGCATTTGATTAAGCTGCATTTCCAGCAAACGCCGTAGTATCAGAAAATCTCAATAGCAAAGTAGCGCGCCTAGGCAGTTAAACAAAGTTTTTGCCAAGCAGTTGCCGTCTTTTTGTTTCCCCTCGCGCCCACCAACGCCATATCCAACGCTTCGGAATCTGGTCTGTTCGTGGTTTGTATTTGCGCGCGCGTGTAGAAAAAATTGCATCATTTACCGTGTGAATATAGTTTGGTCGTCTAGCAACGAATATGTCCGAAACAAAGGACACAGACCCAGAGAAAATGGGTCCAGCGACTCCAATGCACTATATACGGCAGTTCCTGTCGCAAATCTACCAATTCATCAACGGTCCCCAGCATGCCGAGGAAAATGGTAAGTGTTAATCTCCTTGTGCATCCTTTCCTTCCTTGCTTACGGACCCAATCTCCGACAGATCTTCTGGTGAACAATGCCTTGGATAGGATATTGGAGATGCCCTACTCGTTGAACGAGTCGGTGCGGATCCTGAGCGAGGATGATTGTGTGATTAAAATTATGCGCACGCTCAACTCGAAGCCAAGTCCGAATGGCAACAGGGAGGAGTTGCCCGGGAATGTGTTCCTGAAAACGTACACACAGTTCTTGAAGCTAAAAACGGATGAGAAGCGACGCGAAGCCGTGATGAACTTTCTGCTGGACATTCTGGAGTCATCGTACCTGCATCCCACGAATATTAAGCCCAATCGCAAGGTTGGGCAACCGCTGGTTCCTGACCTCAAGTTACCCAGTCCCGATGAGAGGCAGGAAGATCCACGTTACTTTATGTCCGGTGGCCAACGCATGGGCCCTGAGGCCACGGATAACCTTAAAGAGGTGCTCTCTGAGCGATTGGCTGGTACCTACGCCCATAGCCAGCAACAGCAGCAGAAGGAGCAGGACCAGCAGCAGCAAAAGCAGCAACAGCAAGAGAATGGTACCTCCTATAGCTATGATCCCAATCTGTCAAGTGCTGGCTTGGGGCAGGATCAAATGCCCAACTACACGGAGGACTTGCAAAGCGAAAAGTATGTGGATGAAAGCTTGGACATGGTCACGAATGCCCTTTTCTCGTTTACGGGCATTCAAGGCAAATATCTGCGAAAAGATGTCATCACGGGGCGCTTTAAGCTCGACACGACAAACATTCAATTGCTGACGACGGGCGATGCTGGCCTCATGCTGCGCCTCTCCGAGCTGGGCTACTATCACGATCGTGTGACCGAATATGCCGATCCCTCGAAGGGTTACAGCGCCCTCGGTTGCATGGGGCAGGCGCTGACATGCTTTCTGCGCAAGGAGCTTGGGGACTATCATGGCGAGGTGTCGCTGCTGCACGATCAGGTGAATGCGTTCAAGAAGGCCCAAAGGAAGAGTAGCTTTAGCCCTCGCGAAGCGGAGTGGCAAGACGGACAGCAGGAGCAGGTGACGCTATTCAAGCTGCTGGCGTGGTACATAAAGCCCCTGCATCGCATGCAATGGCTGACCAAGATCGCTCATGCCTGCATGATGAAAAAGGGCGGCGAACTGATATCCGTTGTGTGGGAATTCTTGTATGATGGCAATCCAGCGGTGGATAAACTCGCCAATGATCTGCTCGCGGCCATGTGTCGACCGCTGGCGCGCATGATCTCTCAATGGATGCTCGAGGGCAACATCACGGACATACACAGCGAGTTCTTTGTGGAGGCGCTGACCGATGTGGGGCCCGATCGCCTGTGGCACGACAAGTTTCGTTTGCGCATTCCAATGCTGCCGAAATTTATTTGCCAAGAGCTGGCCGACAAGATCCTGCGCACCGGCAAGAGCATTAACTTTCTGCGAGAAGTGTGCGAAAAGAATGATTTGGTCAATGACCAAGGGGAGCTCAAGAAGATCATGGAATCTAATGGTACGAAGCAAAAGCGAGAGCTGGTAGCCTGGCACTGGCAGCCTTATGCTGAGTGTTTTTTTATTTTTAGCTGGCGACATTTTCTCCTACACACAGGACACAAAATGGCATGCCGCCATAGAGGTCTGCTATCAGACCACCTCCAAGAGTGTCCTCGACTACATGGTGGGTCCGCACAAGCTCTTGGATCATCTGCAATGCATGCGACGATACTTACTACTTGGACAGGGTGACTTTGTCAGCGTCTTCATCGAGCACATGAAGTAAGTCTGAAGCCTGTTAATCTTTTGAAATAATAAATAAATCAATTCTCCTTACAGAGATGAACTGGAGAAGCCAGGCACTGAAATCTTTGCCCATGATCTTTCGGCCATGCTGGACTCGTCCCTGCGCTGCACCAATGCGCAGTACGATGATCCAGAGATCTTAAACCATTTGGATGTGGTCGCACAGAAACCGCTAATGGGCGACAAGGGCTGGGACATTGTATCGCTGCAATATGTGGTACAGGGTCCGCTGGCCACCATGCTGGAGCCGACCATGTGCACGTACAAGGCGCTCTTCAAGCCACTGTGGCGCATTAAGCACATGGAGTTTGTGCTGTCGACAAAGATCTGGAAAGAACAGATGACCAATGGCAAGGTGAGTTGGCTTACAGTCCTACACTCCAACAAATTTCTTATCACTTTCGAGGGTCACACTCTCCCACTCTCCTGCCCGCCCTGATCGATAATGCAATTTGGGTGGGACTTCGGGCAACAAATTAAAGCAGAGTGGTCGCGTGCAGATTAGATTAATGCTCGGGGGTGACAGTAATCTAATCCGTGAATGATTGCCCATTTCCCGGGTACACGCACAAGTCTCAAAGGGCATACATAAAGTGCCTTATCCTTGTTTTCTCTTATGCATTATTTTCTATATTTCGATAGAAAAGAAAACACACAACTGCCCGTACAAAAATAACATTAATTAGAGGGTGAAACAAAAACATATGAATACGAAAAAAAATACATATACAGAAATGTGACTGCTTGTGGAATGCTGCTGCTGCTCCTTGCTGTGCCTCTTACAACTTGGCATCGGTCTTGAGCAGAGGTGCCAGCTTCTGTGTGAGCATGATGTTGCCGGCAATCTTCAATTTTCCCTTCATGAATGCAGCCTGGGGATTGAGCTTGCCGAGGGCAATATCAACCATATCCTCATCGGCCACCGTCAGTGTGGTGTCCACTTTGACGCCCTGTGCGGGTCCCTCATAGGCCTTGGCGCTCTTGCAGTCCAGAGCTATACAAAAATAAGCAGCAAAGTAATGTAATGTAATGCAAATATAGAAAAAAGGCAACAAACAGCTGGTGCCGAAGTGCAAAACATTTTGCACTTTGAACTTTCCACAAAACACAAGCACACACACACACCCGTAGAAAAAACCACGTAAACCCACAGAAAATTAGTGTGCGTGTGTGTGTGTGTTGGTATATCGCGCAGGGTGCTTCATATTTGAGTTACTTACTCCACTCCTTGGCCACCTTGCCATCCTTGGTGATTTTGTAGACAAACACACCATTCACCGCCTTGGCCTTAGCCTCGTTCTCCTTCAGGCCATCGATGATTTTCTGGAAAACGGCATCCGACTGTAGACTCATGTTTATGGTTTTTTTTTGGTTGTTTCTCGGGGTGCTGTTGTTTAACTAAATAAAGTGTTAATAAATAGGAGGAGCGCGCGGGGGGACAAATGCTTACGCCGTGAATAGAAGAATAATGAGCCAAAAGCGTGCAGAGTCGTTGGTTTTATTTTCTCGCAATAGCGATAGTGTGGGTAGCAAGTGCTGCCAACTTTTTTGACGAATTAGCGGGTTTTGTAGGAAAAAAGTGCCAACTTTTTTTTGTATCAACACATTCTTTTCTCATTCAAGAAAGATTTGTATATGACTTTTTAGGTCATTTTGATTAGCCATTGTACCAATACATGGCACGGATAATGTACGCTTTGCAGCCTATATATTTTACGTAGCCTGATAAGTACTAGCAAACCTAGCTATAAATTAGCTAAATTGGCAATACTGTTGGGGGACAGCCGGCTTGCATACGGGTGGTTTTCTCACTCCCATTGGATATGCTGCTGATGTGATGGTGGTTGTGCTCTCTCCCTCTCGCTCACCACCCGGCCAGCTGATGGCACAGTGACGCAAGGAAGTTTGAAAATTTAGCTATTTTTTTCCTACCAATTTATGAATATTGTGCAATTAGTTTGGTGGCAATTGTGTGGAGTTTAGACTTTAACATTTACCTATCGCACTTAACAGCGAATGTTAAAAGCGGCGCTATCGACTGTTACTGTAACCAGGCTGTGGAGTGGACCTCCCGAACAAAGTGCGCAACGAATTCGAAATGCCAATAAAAAAGCGAGATAAGGAGACTTGAAGTGGCCAGATAATGCCCCGGCCGATGCAGGAATTTAACTATATTTAACAAACATTGCTTATATTTTATCAATTGCCAAATGCCACTCTTCTCTATGCCTTGGAGGCATCCACAAACGTCTCCGGGTCGAGGCCAGCCTTCTTCATTTCCACGGCAATCGAGAACAAGTAATCGTAGCACTCAGATCTGTGTGTGTGTGTGTGTGTGTGGAAGGAGAGTTAGGAAATCTCTGCGGCATATTTATCCATTTGTTACTCACATGGCTTTGGCCTTCTCCCATGTCTGGCCCCATACATAGACCCCGTGTCGTCTGACCAGAACGGCACTGCAGCCGGGATACTCCATCATGGCCGCGTACATGCTGTCGGCCAGGTCACGTTCGTGGGGCGTGTTCTCGATGATGGGCACTACCAATTGCTCGTCATATTGCAGATAACGCTTGTCCGCATCGTCGTACACTCCCTTGATCATCTCGAGGTGCGTGCAGCGGAAGGTTTTTCCCGGCCACAGCAGCGTGGCCATCACCGCATGCTGCGAGTGGGTGTGTATGACGGCGCCGGCGTTGCGGTGTCGATAGGCCAGCATGAAGAGCGGTGTGCACTGGCTCTTTTTCAGTGCTCGTATCTCGGGCGGCATTTGCAGATCCTTCCCATCGATATCCTGAACAAACAAATCCTCCGGTTGCATGCGCTCCTTCTGCACCCCTGATGGGGCTATGTAGATCTCATTGCTATAGTTGGCAATCTTTAGATTTTTTCGTTGTTCCACTGCCAGTTGGTTTTTTACTCACTTTAATCTCATGCTCATGCCGCCGCCGGTGCCGGTCACCCAGCCCAGGTGATAGAATTGCCTGCATAGTTCCGGAATAAGGAGACGCGGATGTTGTTCTGGCAAATCCTTGAAGATTGAAGAAGACATGGTAATCTGCAACGTGATGGGTGTACCAGATAAGACGAGATTAACTTTTCAAAAGACAAATCTCAAATGTAAACAAAATGTTAGTTTCGATAACCAATGATATCGACCATGGCTACAATGTTGCCACCTCTCTTTTAGTCAGCACCACATTTGGCGCGTTTTACTTATTTGATTTTCACTTTGACTATTTTCAGAAATTACGCAAAATGAGTGCTGAAATAAGCAGGGCGTCGTACCGACTTCACCTCTTCACGTCCGAGATTATGCATTTTATCCATCAAATGCAGTACTACGTCCTGTTTGAGGTCATCGAATGCAATTGGGTGACTCTGCAGGGGCATATGTATCACGCGACCGGACTGGATGAGATACTTAATGCCCATGAGTCATTCCTCGATGACATTACCGTGGGATGTTTCATTAATTCCACGACCGACAAGGAACGGCACCTGGAGACCGTGTTCGAGAACATCATCGCCCTGGAAATCTGGCAGGCCAGCTTCTATAAAGAATGCTTCAAAGAGCAAAGTGCCCGCGAGGAATTGGAGAGAAAGATTGCCGAATCCGAGAGGGAGGGCCGCTTTGGCCTGACCACTGAAGAGAAAATGGAACGGGACCAGGAGCGGAAGATGTTCGAGCAGAAGGTAATTATCGCCTGTCGCGGCCTCGAAGGCATTTCCTGTTCCTACGAGAAGGCTGTGAGTGGCTTTATGATGGGCCTCAACAGCAGCGATGATCCCCAACTGCAGCTCTTCGGCACACGGCTCGATTTCAATGAGTTCTACAAAAAGCGCGACAAAAATCTCAGCAAGCCCCTCACCTTCGAACATTTGCGAATGAGCAATGTGTACAATAGTAATAAGAACAATGCAATCGGTAGTCGTTTCGTGATCAATTCCCAAGCATCATCCTCATCATCGCCCGCAATGTAACATTTAATTTCCGATCGCTTGTCGCGCCCAATCATAATCCATCAGCCATATCCATGTGCCAATAGGAAAAACAACAACTGCAGCGGCAGCAATAATGCTGGCTACGATGGGGACATTTTCCATATGAACTGTCACATAAGACCTGGGGGCTCATGTAGTTGCGGAATATTATAGATGGTTCTCACAGTTCTGCTAAATGTGAAATGTTCTGTGAGAACACCACATCGATAGCTGCTCACCGTGATCATGATTGATCTGGCACAATCTCTACAGAATTTTAGTCTAATTTGGTTGCTATAAGCGAGAATCAAGTTTAAGTATTAAAGTGAAATATTTTTTTTTTTAGAATTCTGAATTTTTCGTATTACCAAACAATTATTGGAACTTGTTTTATGTATTCCAATATTGATATATAGCTAGAAAAGTGCTTAAAAACTGAGAATGGTCAATTGCTATTAACAAACGCTTTCGAATCGAGAGTTCATTGAATATTTAGCATTGAAATAAGAGTATGTCTTATTTTTCAATTTTTTTCCCCAGATTATTGGGTGTGTGCACATACATATTAAGATTAAGCCTTTCAAAACATGGAAGAATACCCAAATTGTTCCGGAAAAGTTTTGGTTATTTTTTAAGAATAAGTCAGAGAATTTTGAATATTACAGAAAGTTGAAGCTTTTTTAAACGTTATTGTCTTGAATTGTAAGCTGTAATTTAAATAAATTAAAAGTAAAAGTCATAAAAAGGCAATAAGACATTTGGTTGCTGCACTTTGTGACCGTTTACAGTGTATTTTATACTTTTTGGTATATTTTGACGTCAAAATTGAGTCGACGGTATATCGGTATATTTCGACAATTGTTCGGTATATTACGGTCTATTTTTAAAATGAGATGGTATTATTTCGGTATATTTAGGAGGGTCCAACGGTATATTTTATCGATAATTCTGGGGTCACACTGGTGGCAATTTTTGCAAGTGCAGAAAAAAAGAAAACAAAATAGAAAAAGACGGAAGTGTGCTGCCGGTGACAGAATTGCCAATATATATAACAAAATCTTTGTGTGCTGCTGGCCCCATACAGTTAAAATTGCAACGGAACGATAGCAGCACCCCACAAATATGGCATTAAAAAAAGTGAAGGGAAACTTTGAGCGTATGTTTGATAAAAACCTGACAGATCTGGTGCGCGGCATAAGGAACAACAAGGATAATGAGGTAAGCCCTGGGTTTGTTGTTACTGTTCCAGTGCATGTGTGCAGCCACTCCCACTCCGCCCACATTATCCGTTGGCCCCTTAATTACAACTTTGCTAATTGGCTGACAAATTTCATTTGCATTAAGGGAATTTTGTTAGAGTTTGTAACAGAACGCGTACGTGTGCGTGTTTGTCGTGTGTCTCGTTTTGTAGGTGTGTGCGTTGGCATCTGCCAACAATGCAAAAGGAAAAGAACACAGTCTCTCTCTCCCCCAGAGCAACTCCCGCTACACAATTAGCGGCATTTCGCTTAGGCCCGAAATGCTTTTATTTCAATTTCGGACCAATTTCCCCTCGCGTCAGCACTGGCCTATGTGATGGGTGGAGGAGGAGGAGGAGGGTTCATGGTAGTCACGACGGCGCACGTTTTATCAAATATTTACCCATGTAAATTCCCCTGGAGAGAGTTTGCTCTTGGTCCTTATCAGCTGTGCCGCGGCCCACCCCGCCCGCTCTCACGCAGATGTTTCAGTGTGTGCTGTTTGTGTGTTTTCTCTTACCTTTGATTTACTCCCCGGTAGGATAGTCTCTCTGATGAACCAACTAACTGTTCGTAAAGCTCAGTTCGAACTTATTGCAATCCACTCATGTACATAGGTACATGTGTATGTATGCATGCATGTCGTGGGTTTTCTCTTTTTCTCTCTCAAGCGTTTTTTTGTTGTTTGTTTTTCGCTGACGCCCACAATATTCAAATCGGAAGGGAGCGAGAGGCAACCTATGATTTGTGGAGAGCAGGAAAAAGACACAAGTAACGGGGCCTCAAACCATCTTTTTGTCTATTCGCACTCGCAGATTTCGCATTTGTTCTGTTGGCCTCAGTGGCCTTGCCATTAATTTCATATTATACCCTTGAAGATAGAAAGAACGATTGGAGTATTATGATATAAATCAATTGTTTGCAAAACAGAGCAGGAAGATCGGAAATGGGTATCAAAGATTAAGGTCTCTCAGGGATCCCTCCTACAGTCGTACAGTCAAATTTCTGATGCGAAAGCGATGCACGCCTCTGTTGAATCCAATTGGCAAGTCTTTATAAATGTAATAATAAAATGCAGTAAAATGCACAAATCAGATAAATAAAGAAAACCCAAATCCAATATATTTAATACACGGAACGATCAATCGCGAAGGGTATCAAAAGCGTCGTTCCCGGTGA